GTATATGATATCTGGTGTGGTAGTATAAATAATCCATCCTCCCATGACTGGCTTGGCCCATAGAGACAAAAGGATCCCCACCTTTTCTGGTACCCACCACAGCCTCTCTCTTCCACATCAGGTTCCCTGGGAAACCGTCACGGAGATGAATATTAACAAGCAGGTCATTCTCAGGGAGTGCTTTAGGATCCAGTGGTGGAAGGGAGAAGGAAGAAGGGAGAAGGGAGTAGGATTGTTTAGAAGAAGTTGAGTTCCCATGAAGTACAAAAAAGACCTCAGCCGATCTTCCATGGAGCTGTGGTGTTAAGATGTTCCTTCAGACTGGTCCTGGGCTGGAGTGAGAGGCTGAACCTTTACATCCCCATGTTGATGAGCCACTGGATGTGGAAGTTTCTCAGGCATGACCTTGGGCGTGGTGGCTCTGCTCAACTGAGACCATCCCAAAGAGAGCTGACAACTGAGAGCCATCTCCTCAGGCCTGGTGCATCACAGCCTCCACCACCCTCTGCACAGCTCCTTCCACCTCAAGTCCTTGGGCTCAGGACATGAATTAACTGCATCCCCCACTGAGATCTTAAAGCTACGTCACCTCAACCAGGGACCCAGGCTTCTCTGACACCACTTGGTCTCACCTGGGCTTTACTAATTGGAAACGTTTAGGATGAATATCATGGGGGCACCAAGAAGCAGCTTCTTCACGAATCTCTGAGTGCCTGGCTCTGGAGTGAGCTCTAGCAGAGGACAGAGGAAAGAAAAGAAGGAACCTCAGACTTGTGAAGTGACATAAAACCTGGGTATAGAAACAGAAAAATCTCCACCACACATTACTTTGCATTGTCCCCCAAGGGGGCATAAGAGGCAGACATTGAGCTGAGGACAGGATGTTGACTTTTTTTTTTCTAGAGTTACTTTTGGAAGAGTTTTACATTTACACGAAATTTGGGACAATAGTATAGAGTTCCAGTATATAGCTGAATATAGTTTTCCCTCTTATTAGTATCTTACAGTAATTTGGTACATCTGTTAATGAACCAATATTGGTACATCTTTATTAACCAAAGTCTATAGTTTATTTAGATTTTGTCTTAGCTTGGGCTACTATAATAAAACACCATACACCAGATGCCTTGAAACAAGAGGAACTTACTTCTCAAGGTCCCAGAGGCTGGAAGTCTGAGATCAGGGTGCCAGGATGCTTGGATTGTGATGAGAATGCTCTTTACAATTGCAGACTGCCAACTACATGTATTCTCACATGGTGGATGGGGTGAGCTGGCTGGCTTGTCTCTTTTTGTGAGGACAATGATCCCATTCCTGAGGACTCCACCCTCATGACCTCATTATCTGCAAAGACCGCACCTCCAAATCCCATCTCGCTGGATTTCAGATTTCAACATTTGAACTTTGGAGAAATAAATTCGGTCCTGAAAGGATTTCCTTAGTTTTTACCCTATGTCCCTTTCTGTTCCCGAATTCCATGCAGGATACCACATTACATTTACTTGTGATGTCTCTGTAGGCTCCTCTCAGCGGTGACACCTTCTCAGACATTCCTGACTTGTGATGGCCTGACAGTTTTGAGGACTGCTGCTCACCTGTATCATGGAATGTGCCTCATTTCAATCTGTAGGATCCTTATCTCATAAGTAGACTGAGGTGATGGGGTTGGGGAGGAAGGTCACAGAGGAAAAGTGCCCCTTTCATCACCTCAATCCAGGATCCACACTGTGGCAGTGGTTTATGATTTTTGGTGAACTCATGATCACCTGACTGCACTGTATTTGTCAGGTGTCCCCTCTGTAGTTACTCTTTTCTCCTCCTTTCCACTCTGTCCTCTTTGGAGGGGAGTCACGACAAGTGCCTACACTCCAGGAGTGGTCAATTAAGATCCCTTCCTTAGGGCGAAATATCCACATAGACCATTTGGGACTTTTCTGCACAGGACATTTTTTCTTCTCCTCAATTTATTAATTTATTCAGTTATTAATTTATATCAATAGGGGCTCAAAGATATTTATTTTATATGAGCGATTATAATCGGTCTTAGTCATTCATGCAGTTATAACAACATATCCCGGACTGGGTGGCTAATAAACAAAAGAAAGCTCTTGCTCATAGTTGTGGAGGATGGAGTCTGAGATCAGTGAGCCAGCCCAGTTGGGAGAGGGCCTTACACAGATTTCTCCTTGTGTCCTCATGTGGCCAAAGTGATTAGGGAGCCCTGGGAGCCTCTTCTATAAGGGCTAATCCCACTCATGAGGGTGGAGCTCTTTTTTTTTTTTTAAGATTTTATTTATTTGACAGAGAGAGAGAGAGAGAACAAGTAGGCAGAGAGGCAGAGGGAGAAGCAGGCTCCCTGCTGAGCAGGGAGCCCGATGCGGGACTCGATTCCAGGACCCTGGGATCATGACCTGAGCCGAAGGCAGCCGCTTAACCAGCTGAGCCACCCAGGCGCCCGAGGGTGGAGCTCTTAAGACCTCCTCACCTTCTGGAGGCTGCAACTGCTAACACCATCACGTCGGCTTGAGGGTTCTAACACCTGAATTTTGTGGGAACAAGAACATTCAGACCGGAGCAGAACCAGACATACTACATTACTTATTTTTTGCTCAAACTCTTGCACTTTAGCCTTTGGGAGCTCTTCCAGGAGGTTCCTGTATTTGTTTGACAGAGTTCAATCAGTGGGTTATTGTTTTGTTTTTTGAATATCCACTTGCTTACTTTCTGGAGGATATGAAGCTCTGCTAGAACTTTTAAACACAAAGAAGAGAGAGTAGTATTAAATGAAACGGTTTTAGGTACATGTACTAGCTTTGAACGAAGTGAAATGGTATTTTAATACCCAACATCTGGTAGAAACTGCTGTTTGCAATGAATTGTTCCCCAATTTATGTTTTAAAAATGTGATGGCCAAACTCATGGCCGTCATTGTTCTGACAACTGAGGACACAGACTGTCCCTTCTCTGTCAGAGTCCACATCCTATTTGAGGAAGAGACAAGCACACACAATAGGCAGTTCTCAGTTTGCATGGTGCTGATGTGCACGAATGTCTGTTGCCATAGGTCAGTTAAGTAACATCAGTCCCCCAACACATGATTCCAGTTTCATTTACCACGGAGTAATTTTCCATGAGCAATTGCATGAAGTACAAACTTTCTGCCAGTTCTTCTTCAGGCTACCAATCCCTATATGACTAACAGGTGCTTATCCCCATAAGTAAGCATCACATCTTTCAAAGCATGTAGTGGTCGTTCTCTGTGACTCTGTTACTCACTTTCCCACAAACAGCAATGCAGGTGGTTTTGTTGTCTCCTGGTCTCCCAGCGAGGAGCCCAGGTGACATTGTACAAAAGTGAATAATGTCAAAAGGGAATTGGCAAAAAGCAGAAAGTGGGATGTAGAAATGAGAAGAGATGAGAGTGGAGGTGAAGTTCAAACTGAATGTGAGTGGGGCTCATGAAGGCATAGCTCCCATGGGAATGGTGACCGGGATGCTGGTCCCCAGAGTGTGGATATGCAGCCAGAGGAGCAGAGTGAGGCACTCTTACCACGTCACTGAAGAATATGATGGGGAGGGAGGGTGAAATTGTCCCAGAGGATGTGACACCAGAAATATTCAAATTAACGTAAGAATTTCATACATTGGAAGTGCAAGGGATGGGATGTTGGATGCTGATCCTATTTGAAACTGGAGTGAGGGAATTCTGATGCTGGTCTATATGGCCAACTATGTGATCAGAAGAAGGTAAGCACTGTGCAAACTATTCTTGATGAGTCTTTACAAAAAAATTAAATGCTTCCCTTCTTTGTGTTTCTAATATGTGAAATGATAGTATACCAAATAAATATGGTTCCATTGTTTTTTTAATTTTCTTATCATTCATAATTGACAGTTGGAGAGTTTCTGTGTTTTGAAAAAGTTTTTAAAACTCACAGAAAATCGTGATTCTCCTGCTTATTGTTGAGATCACTTTGCATGGTTTCAGCTACACCATCATTGTTCTGTCCTGCACTATTGCGCAACATGAGCACTGCCTCCACTTATCATGTCAGCTAATCCTGAGTTCTAGGGAAACAATTTAATTAGGTTATGAGCCATGGGAACAGAGGGTGAGAGAGAAGAACTGATATTTTATGTAGGGTGGTTTATGGAAGGGACTTTTAATAAAGTGACATGTCAGCAGAGCTTGAAAGAGGGAGAGATGAGCCACACAGGTTCATAGGGGCAAGAAGCAGAGGAGAGACACGTTTGACTTCCATTTCCATAGAATCACTGTGGCTTAAACTGGAGAGCCTGTTAGAGACAAAGCAATAGTCCATGAAGGAATGCTGCTGGCTGAGACCAGAGAGCAGCCCTGGGAGTGAGCAGTGCGCAGATTCTGGGTGGAGCTCACTGGAGTGTGGGAGGAGCCTTGCACTCACTCCTGAGAGCTTTTCAGGAATTTTACAAGTGAGTTGTTAAACACCGTTAGCTTGTAATTGGTCACGGTGGAAGTGTTGACATCACAGAAGTCCACAAGCACTACCAATCAGGCTTCTTTTTCTTTTTGAGAGTGGATTGTTTCACGTTTACCATCCTACCACTGGACACAGCATTCTGAAGGCAGAATTGAATGTGAGATATAAAGAAAGAATGTTAAGGATGGCTTTAGGCTTCTGGACTGCCAGCCCGAGTGCATGAGCAGTGGGGTTGGGAAGGATGAAGGGGACAGAAGAGCAGTGTTCCCATCACAGGGAGGAGTGAATCTTCCCTCTGGGACTGAAGAGTAGCACATGTAGGCAAAGAAGAAAGAAATCATTTCTCCTCTGCAAACCAGGATGGGATGCATTCTATTTAAGACCAAATGGAGAACCTCACCAAGGCTGGGGAGGCTGGGGCTTGGCAGAAATAACTCCTGAGAACATGGACATGAGTGTGTAGTTCATGGTCACGGTCCCCAGGAGATGGATGAGAGATACTTGCTCTGTGTAGATGTGACTTGTTTCTCACATTCCAGGCAGAGATCCATGCATCAGTCCCCAGATCAAGTTCCCATGGCCCCTGCTGAGGACCTGGTATGAAGACCTAGCTCTGGGGGCATCAAGGACCCTGAGAAGGAGCAGCAGGAGCTCTGGGCAGGTGTGTCTCATGGGAAGCAAGGCATCTGGGTCAGAATTGTGGAAGCTTCTAGTTGTTCCTTCTCTTAGGCTGGGCCCTTCAGGGAATGGAGCAGGCAGCAGAGTCTGAGGGTGGCATGTAGCAGGGGAGGAAGGAAGGACCTGTGGGACCCATGTTCACAGTTAATTATCTGCTCATTATTCCAGAAATGTTCCGCCCGTGTCTCCTATATCCTCGGTGCTATTTTCCTCCTGGGACACCTGTTGTGAGAGGACAGGCAGCCCCTGATATAGAACTCTGCCACCTAAGCCTTCCTCCCTTAGGGCCTGATCCCCATCCCCATCCCCACCAGTGTATCCCACAGAGGGTCAGGCAGGAACCATCCTCACAGCCGCCATCCGGCACCTGTCAGCATTCTCCTAAATGTGGACTCCTTGTGCCTGATGGAGCCCCAGTGCTCAAATAACTTAGAGATGATCTCCAAGGGTTCCTCCCACCCAGCTGCCTCTCATTCACCACTCTGCCCACTTCCTTCCCAGATTCCCTAGGACTCGGTGCACACTCTTTGAAGTCTTTGACCCTGCCCAGCTCTTATAGGCTAAAGTCTCCACCACACACACTTCAGGAAGATGGGATCCCTGAGACTCCTGAGATTATCAAGGGAGGTGTGTCACATGCTCTTTACTCCAGTCGGGCCCTGGCCCTGTGTGACCTGTGGTCTGCCCCTTTTCCTGACTTTGCTCCCTCTGGGACTGACCTTGGCCTGTCCTCCCTGACCCACTACTTACAGTCAGGCCCTTGCTACTTGTGAGCATAGATGACAGAGACAATGATGAGCAGCAGCAGCTTTGGGCCCAGGATGAGAGCCACCAGGAGTGGAGTAGATAGCCTTGGGTCTGGAAAAGAATGGACACAGGCACCATGAGAGGGGTCACCCAGGAGTCCATTCCCTGGGGCCTCCACATACTCTCCCTGAAGCAACTCAAGCTTATCAATGCTCTGAAGCTCATGAATCTCTTCCCCTGCACTCAGTCTCAAGGCAGGTTTGGGGTAAGAAGTTCTTCATCTCACTCACCACTTCTTTACTGCCAGGGGTCCTTTTGGGGGAAAAGATGGGGAGGATGAGCACTCAGTAACATGTAACTTTGGTTTACTGAATTGGTCCTCACACCCATGGGGCAGGTCTATACCCTCTTTCTGAGGAGGGAACAGGCTCATAGTTTACAGAGGGTCAAAAGATGAGGTAGTTCAGACCCAGGGAAATTCCTCATTGCTGTCCTGCAGGATGACTCTGAGACCTTGTCTTTGGACCAAGACAAATCCAAACTCTGTGGGTCATAGGGACAAATGTCAGCCTGGCCTCAAGTGGAGTGAGAACAGGTGTCATGGTCAGTGAGAGGCAAGGCTGCCCTGCTTTGCTCCATGCACAGGGCTTAAAGACTCCATGTACAGAGGTGAGGAGGGAGGCTTCAGGATGACCTGACCTCAGGAGACCTGCTGGCTGGACAACCCCATGGGGAGACAAGGAAATGGGGTCTAATGCTCAGGAGGGTTTCAAACACCATCCAGCCCACCTGGACCCCAGGGCCAATATCAGCTGACATCGTTTGTTGGATATAGAGGTTGGATCTGTAAATACACCTTCAGATACTTTGACTTTCTGCAATGACCCATTTTTGCTTTTATATTTGAATAAATAAATTCAAATAAAATTTGGAAATATATGGAGTAATCTTAAAGGAAGGAGCAGAGACCTCACCATATTTGCCCCTGGCGTGCTGGAAGATGGCAAGTCTCAGCTGGGTGGACCCCCGCCCGAACATTCTCTCAGTTCAAAGAGCTGTATTGTCCACATTTGCACCTGTTTCGAGAAGGCAACCTACAGTAGAGGGCTGGAAGAAGTGGGGGTACAAAGGCTAAGTCAATCTTCTCCATTTAAAACAACTCACGAAGAGCATCGGCTCCCCAGCTCTCTGTCCGAGGTTGAGTCTTGCTGGGCTGCATTGTGTTCAAAATCTCCCTTTACCAGTTCTGCCTCCTTCCCCCTCTCACACATGTGGATCACACAGCGCCCCAGAGTGAGCTTTCCCCTTCTCATATCATCTGAGAGTCTGCTTCCCGAGTCACCTGATGTGTGGAGTTTGTCTGGGTGGGGTCTGGAAAGTCAGCTCTAATGGGCACTTTTGGAGCAGCGTCTTTATCATTTGGCTGGCCAAGAGGCCCCCAGCCCTGGGAGGAGGTAGAGCAGGGTAGGTGCCAGCTTGCCCTGCTCTTGTCACTGCTGAAACCTCACCATGGTGACTTGCAAAGGAGTAAGCAGAGGAGGGACGTACCCTGGCATTCTGGAAATGAGTTGGTAAGTATAAGAACTATGGGTTTGGTTGGCTGTTGCTGGGCATTAATCCTTCGGAGAAAGACAATGCAAAGTGAAGACTGACTGATCACACATGGAAAGGTTATGTATGAAAGTCAGAGGACTTCTGGGCAACAGTGCAGACTGTTACCTCCTAGACGGGAGCGAAGAAAAAGCCGAGGACACAGTTGGGTCCAACGAAATCATGAAGTATCAGTGCTACAGAGAGGATTGAATTCTCAGCTACACTGCATCTGCTCTACCAGAATAGAACCCTGATGGGGAAATATGGGAGA